ATATTTAATATATACATATATCTTCTACATAAATGGCCGGATCTGTCTGTCTGTCTGTCCGTCTATCTTCTCGAGACCCGTAAAAGGTGACCCCAACACCATATATATATTCTGAATCAGCATGACGCTACGACCATTTTAGGCAAAAAAAAACTTGCAAGAAAATGGAAAAATAAGGGGAAAAAAAAAGAAAAAACGATTTTTCTTTTTTTGGAACTTTACTTTTTTGGTCCATTTTGTAGGTAAATATGATTTTTGGCCACTTTTTGGCTAAAGATTTGCCAAGTGTGCAAGCTCATCATCTGGGACGAGGCAACCATGAGCCACAAAGGCGCCTTTGAAGCACTCGACAAGACCCTACAACACCTTTGGCACAACACAGACGTCATGGGAGGTGTGACTGTCCTGCTCACAGGCGAATTTCGCCAAACCTTGCCAGTCATCGCCAAAGAAACAAGAGACAGATGCTGTTAATGCCTGCATTAAGTCGTCCTACTTCTGGAGCAAGGTGAACCGCCACAGCCTGAAGACCAACATGAGGGTGCAGCTCAGCGGCGATGAAGAAGCTGGCCGCTTCTCTCAGCAACTGCTGGAGGTCGGCAATGGCAGATTCACCACCACAGCTGATGGCCAAGTCAAGGTGCCATTCGGCAAAGCAGCGGCGGACATCAACCCGCGGATGACCAAAGTCTTCCCAAACCTCCACCCTCCCAAGAATTTGGCCGTGGGTGACATCAACGCCAAGCTGCTAGAGACACTGCCTGGCGACCCAACGAGCTACAAGTCGATGGACACAGTTCCTGATCCTGCCCAGGCGGTGCACTATCCGACGGAGTTTCTCAACAGCCTGGCGCCCTCAGGTCTGCCACCACACAACTTGGTGCTCAAGTCGGCGCGCCCATATTGCTAATGCGCAACCTGGAGGCTCCCAAGCTCTGCAACGGCACAAGGCTTACAGTGAAGCAGCTCATGCTCAGAGTCATCGAAGCCAAAATCATGACAGACAAGGGCAAGGGCAAAAATTTCTTCATCTCAAGGATCCCACTCATCCCATCAGACCTGCCATTTGAGTTTAAAAGGCTGCAGTTTCCAGTCAAGCTGAGCTTTGCCATGTCCATCAACAAGGCCCAGGGCCAGTCAGTCCTTCAAGTTGGTTGGACTCAACCTCAGTGAGCCAGTGTTCTCCATGGACAGCTCTATTGGTCTCCAGGGGTGTAATCAGACAACCTCTACATCCTCTCTCAATGTCAAGACAAGAATGTTGTGTACCAAGAAGCGTTGGAGAACTAAACAGAAGTGAAATTCTAGGGACAGATTTATAATCCCTTCCATCTTCTTCCCAAACCTCCACCTCCGCTACCAAGACCAAGACTGGCTGAGCGAGCGAGCCATCCTTGCTCCCAGGAATTTGGCCGTGGATGACATCAACGCCAAGCTGCTGAGAGCAACTGCCTGGCGACCCAACGAGCTACAATCGATGGACACAGTTCCTGATCCTGACCAGGAGTGCACTATCCCACCGAGTTTCTCAACAGCCTGGCGCCCTCAGGTCTGCCACAACGCAACTGGGTGCTCAGGTCGGCGCGCCCATATTGCTAAGCGCAACCTGGATGCTCTCAAGCTCTGCAACGGCACAAGGCTCACTAAAAGCAGCTCATGCCCAGAGTCATCAAAGCCAAAATCATGACAGGCAAGGGCAAGGGCGAAAAGTCTTTATCCAAGGATCCCGCTTATCCCATCAGACCTGGCATTTGAGTTCAAGAGGCTGCATTTCCAGTCAAGCTGAGCTTTGCATGTCCATCAACAAGGCCAGGGCCAGCCCTCAAGGTGATTGGACTCCTATCCAGCTCTAGTGGGGTGCTCCAGGTGGGTAACCCAGACAACCTCTACATCCTCTCTCAAGATGGCAATACCAAGAATGTTGTGTACCAAGAAACGCTGCAGAACTGACCAGAAGTGAAATTCTTGGACAGATTTATAAAATCCGAATAACATCTACAGCCGTCATGACAGACTAAATTCTAGCTCTTTCTCCCTTTATCCCGGGCATCGCCGGGTAGCCCAGCTAGTATATACATATATATATATAATATATATAATATATATAATATATATATATATAAGCTGTATACCTATTGCATATTCATTATTTACACGAAAGATCCCGGGA